TATTGCGTTCTCTTTGGAGAAACAGGTTCGCTTTTTGAGTGTCACCCCATGCTATGGAACTCACTGGAACTCACTGGAGCCCTTGCCTTAATGGTGCTTTTGACATCAAGGAATTCTTTTTGGTCTACTTTTCCTAGCATGTTTATGGCATGACCAGCTTCTAGTTACTGGAGTTGGGTTGGGGGTTTTTTTAATCCACTGATCTTTTGAAAATCTGTTTTACCTGGTGTTTTTTGGTACATATTTTAAACTAACACACACACACACACAGAGAGAGAGAGAGAGAGTATTTTTCTGTGTATAAGACTAAGTTTTCCCCCCTAAAAAATAATGTCAAAAATTAGGGGGCGTCTTATGCAAGGATAGTGCCGAGGGTGGACTGGCAATTGGTTGTTTCCCCCCAAATAGGGGGTGTCTTATACATGGGGGTGTCTTATAGATGGGAAAATACGGGTGGGTGGGTGTAGATAGATATAGATATCTGATATACAAACATTTACAGTAAATAAAAAATCCACAGCAGGTGGGCAATTGGTTTGGTGGGTCTTAAACTTCACAGAGCCTCAACAAATCCTATTGATTTAACGGAAGTCACAAAACTACCTAACTTTTTCAACCTCTGTTCAGTTTTGCTTTTTGATTACTACAGTGGTACCTCGGGTTACATACGCTTCAGGTTACAGACTCCGCTAACCCAGAAATATTACCTCGGGTTAAGAACTTTACTTCAGGATGAGAACAGAAATTGTGCTCCGGCGGCGTGGTGGCAGCAGGAGGCCCATTAGCTAAAGTGGTGCTTCAGGTTAAGAACAGTTTCAGGTTAAGAACAGACCTACAGAACGAATTAAGCTCTTAACCCGAGGTACCACTGTATTGCATTGCTACCCTTTAGACCAGGTCAGTGGTCACCACTGGCCTTGAAGAACTTCTAGAAGATAAATGCTATTGAAAAGGCAGTAAACAAAAGAAGAGTCACAGTGTTTACAGTATATTTCTGTTGTCATGAGCACAATTTGACACAACTCTTCTTTCACTCTTCCCAGTGCCCAGACCCCTTCCAAGAGTGAAAGAAGTGTATTGCTCTTGTAATGGTTCTAGGGGTTGCTCGTGCGTAAGCCGGTGCAAACACCTGGCTGGGTTGCCTAAGTGAACCTTTTCTGTCCGGCCAGCCACTCACCCGTGGCTGACTCAGTCGCTGGCAGAATCCGTCAGTGGGCGTTTCTTAAACTTCTTCCAGCAAAGAAGCTCTTTGACGCCTAGTCTCCTCCTACTCTCTCTGCGCGAAAGCCTTCTGCGCAAGGAGGGCGTAGGCAACAGAGGACCCCTACTCTCCCCGCTGGTCCCAGGCAAGGAGTCATGGGACCGCCTCGCCGCTTCCCCCATCTGCCCCCCTTCTCCACTGGTGCTACGCTGATTCTCTTCCCCAGAAGATGGGCTGCTTCTCCCAATCCCTGGACGCTCTCTGGAATCCCTCTGGCTTTTGCTCTCTCCCTCCGGCACTGATGGCAGTTCCCTGACATCCCTCAACTCAAAGGTCAGACTTCCAGCCTCTAAAGGGAATCTAGAACATTAACTCAGACACATAAAGAATAGAACATAGGAAGCCATCTTATAGAAAGTCAAGGCATTTAGCTCAGTATCGCCTACACTGACTGACAGCATCTCTCCAGGATTTTCTCTACCTGGAGATGCCATAGAGTGAGCTTAGGACCTTTTGCATACAAATAATGTGGTCCATCACTAGAAGAATGTGGTCTTTCACCAAGAAATACACAGAATTTAGAAATGTTAGAATCTCCTTTGTATCTTCCCACTAAAATCTTGCTTCCTTGAGCATGCAACAGAGGAGCTGAAGGCAAACAGAAAGGTCCTGAAAACCAAACTGAGCCCGCAGGCTGCCAGCTGCATATCTCCAGCCTAAATCTAAGATCTTCATTAAATGAAATAAACCATAAACCCAAAATGCAAAACTGTCGCCTGAACATTAGTTGCTAAAACTACATCTATCATTTTGATGCAGTTGTCCATTAAGCTTACAACATCTCACAAAAAAAATACAGCACTGGATTTCCTACAACTCCTAACTGAACAAGAGAAGTTACTGAAAATAACCATTTTGCCCACACGGAACACTGAGTGATTGACAGGAGAAGAGAGCTGGACAAAATGGTCCAGTGTCTCTGTGTACATTCTCACTGTTCCGAGAAAAGTTTCAGAGTCGTCACTGTGCAGTGATGTTTTCCTTTGACACTGTAGCCAGTTAAAACAGTATATACTTTTAGTCACTTTTCCAGCTATAACATTTACAGCCAATTCCAATTTTGAAAATGGCAGCGTTTTGGCTGGTACTAAATGAAGCCTGTTGAATGGTAGTTTTTCCCTGGCAAAGCTGACATTCTATATTAAGTTTTTACATTCATGGAACTGAAAAGGAAATCATTTACGTTTCTCCATTTCAGCTGGTAAATGTAGTTTGGAAGATTAAAGGATAAATCACATTAGCTCCTCACAGGCAGAAGTACTGTGACATTAAAAGGGGAAAAAACACATGCAAGAACTAGTTGCACCAGTAGCCCATCTATGCCCATTCAATTATGTATGTAGGCTACATTGTACCATCAGCTCCATGGAGGCCAGGAGAGCCTCACTCCAACTCCATCTATTAATAAGAAAGAGTGGTCTTGCAAACTGAGTTAGCATAGAATGCCACTATGGCCCAGTTCAGACACAAACGAGCAGATAATCCATTACAAATGGGCCACAAGGCACTTTAAAACTCTGCTACTAGTTAGCAAAACAACAACAAGGTTTCATGCTGTTCCATACTCAGCAGAACAGGGTTTGTTCAAACCATGATTTGTTAAAGAAAACCTAGGCTACCAAACCAAGATTGTTCACTGTTGCATCTGAGAAAAGGAAATAGTTGTAATGCATTTAACTGAGTTGTATTTTTTCAGAGCAGATTCTTAATTGTATGTACATTATGCTAACTCTATAGTTAAACAGGACAGTTCAGAAGAAAGCAATACTGATTAGAAAATGAGGTGCTGGTATCACGAAATGCTTCCAGGAGAAGTAACAGTGTCTAAAGATGGACAGCTTGTGTCTTGGTGCACCATATAAACTATAGCCTCTGTGTTGTATCTAACATTGATCATACTCAGGACAAAACCACAGAAATTAACAAACATGACTACAGTGGTACCTCAGGTTAAGTACTTAATTCATTCCGGAGGTCCATTCTTAACCTGTTCTTAACCTGAAGCACCACTTTAGCTAATGGGGCCTCCTGCTGCTGCCACACCGCCGGAGCCTGATTTCTGTTCTTATCCTGAAGCACTATTTCTGGGTTAGCGGAGTCTGTAACCTGAAGTGAATGTAACCCGAGGTACCACTGTACTCTGAGCATGACAAATGTCGATACAACTCTTTATCTAGTTTTTTGGCTTTTTAAAAAATTAGCCAGCACGCACATTTTAGCATGAAATTTCATTGCAAATTAGACCACAAAATTATAGAGGCCAAACACACACTGCATTGCCTGATTCTAAACTGCAAACAACCTAATCCTAATAAATTGCATCATTTCCATACTAAATTGTATCACAGTTTTGAGGTGAAGTTTCCCCTGTGATCAGTGATGAGCTATTTAAAAAACAATTATGCCAGAATATTACACTGCCTTCACTGGCAGAAGCACTACTGGAAGCGGGAAGGAAGGCAGTCTCTCAGCATGAGAAGACAATGCCCCAGGAGCCCCTGGGAAATCCTGTATTCCCAAGAGCTACTGACTTTGTTAGCAGCCCTTGGGAAAACTATTTCCCAGGGGTTATTGGACCTTTCATCCTGGAACCAGATTGAAGGGGAGGAAGAAGGCAATCTCCCTCCTTTCTTCTATTTGAAGCCACTTCCCACCCTGGCAATGCCAGTAAGGTACGTAGGGTTCAAAGGGAATCAAGAATAAGATGGGGATCAGATGATAGAAAGGGAAGGAGGGCCGAGGACTAGGCTGGTGAGCAGAGGTTTCAATAGGAATTCTTCTTTGGTTTGGAGTAATCCAAGCCCAAGAAGAATCTGGGTCTCCCAATACTTAACATTTCTTCGAGGGAAGCATTGCAAGCCTGAAAACTCATATCCAAATCCTGGAAGAACTGGCTTCACCAGCATCTCCAGTTGCTACTGCAACACATATACATAACAGCAAACGATTCCTCAAGTGCAATCAGTATAACCATCACACTGAAGATCAGACAGACAATACCTCACATCACTGAGCCCATGATATATGCCAGATGGAATTTTTCACCTGAAAATCTTGATGTTTCTTATCATTGTGCAGCTTGATGGCTACAGGCACTGGACTGGAAAATTAGAAGGAAGTTGAACTGTGACTATTCTGTAAAAAAAATTAATTCAAGAAAATGGAACATCAAGTGCAATCTGTGCATTACCGCTGACTGAAATAGCACAGGGACAGACTATGTGGGGGCTGTTGTTGTTGTTGAACTCCTTTGAGGGTAATTAGATGTCAGTGTGAGACTGCTTCAAAAGAAAAACCAATCTTCTTTCAAGATTCTAAATCTATGGATACTAGAATCGTTTATAGTTCGCTTTTTTAAAAAACCACACACTTTTTATTATATATCTTACAGGGGCACCCTTTGGCCTGCCACCTGGAGGACTGATTATACCCACCTGATTTCATTCAGTGGTGCAGTAGCAACAGGTCCTCCCTGTTGCTATCCCTCTATGTTTTAAGCTTTTTCCTTTATTTTGCTTTTTGCAAAAGAAATTATTATAATACAGATAGGTTGGGGAATCATTAGCTTCAAAAGGACCTGTGCATATCAAAAGCTGGATCTAGAATCAAATGTTACTGGTTTCCAATAGTTACACTTTTTCGGTTAAAAAAAAAAAAGGGTGCCAGCACCCACAAAATTGTAGAATTGGAAGGGACCATGAGGGTCATCTAGTCCAACTCTCTGCAATGTAGGAATCTTTGGTCCAACATGGGGCTCAAACTCACACCCCTGAGATTAAGAGCCTCATACTCTCCCGACAGAGCTATCGACCCCTGCTCTTTATTTTCAAGTCCTTTGGGTGCCAGCACAAAATGGCTCCCACAGGTCGAAAAAAAAAGTGGTACACTCCATACCGGTGAGTAACACAAAAAAGAAGCAACCCCCCATTAAGCCAATTATGAGAGAGGAAGGGATGGAGAGAGCCATGCCTTTCATTTCGCTAAGACTTGGTCACTATCAACAGATGCTAAGTAACATGGATGTGTTGTATCAGATCATCATGCCTTTTTTGATTTTAGCTGCATGGAGGAAGAAAGCAACAGTCTGCTTTATTCAGTCTCAGCACTGGGGCTAAGAATAATGACAGGAATAGTTTTGATTGGTAGCTGGGGGGCTGCAAGGGAAGAATTTGGGGGTTTCAGGGGTGATACTGTCTCTTTTGTTGCTGTGAATTCTGGCACCATCTGCCTGTGTGTGCTTGTTTCTCTGCCTGCAAAACACCTGTTCTGCCTGTAGTAAATAAAAGAGATAATTACAGGTGCCATAAGGCTTCAGCACTCTCTCCTCCAAAACAAACTGACCCTGTAAGAGATTGTCCTTAAGTTCCCTCTGCTTAGGGAAGAGAAGCCTAGAACAGTACACTGTGCAGCTTTCCTTACACAGCATGTTAAGAAACCAACTAAAACAGTTCAATCTGTAAGGCCAAAGAGCATGTCTAACCTCAAGCACATTTCAGCAAGCAACTCTGGGGAAATCCTTTGAAGTGAATTTGGGCTGTTACTGCCATTTAAAAGCCAGACAGTTAGTTATGTTAGTCAGTTCCAGCAAAACAATATAAGAGTCCCGTGGCACAGACAATCAAATGTTTTGTGGCACAAGCTTTTGTGGACTACAGCCTGCTTTGCCAGACACTATTGTAAAATTTTAATGCCAGCATTTCACTGACCACTTTGCAGAACAGAGATACATTCCTTTGCCAGTTTCAGAAGAAAATGGAAGGAAAAGGACGGGATTTGATAAAGCAACAGAAAGGTGCATTATGGAAAAACATTGACGGGTAACCAACAGCCAGGTGAAGTTTATGTTGGACCTCTGAACATTTTGTGTTTGAATGCATTTGCTTGACTCAAAAAGGATGATGAAAGTCGTCCCAGACACAGAAGCAGCATCCAGGACCACACAAATACAGCACCATTTGTGTGGCCTCTCAGCTGTGGGGTCCTCTCCCCTGGGAAGTACACAGGGCCCTATCAACAGCAACATTCAAACAGACTTTAAAAAGCATTCGACTGAATTAATTCAGCATTTTACTGAAGATTGTCTGCAGGCTAGATGTTTTAAGGAGCAATCCTAACCCAGGCTGCTGCCTGGTGGGACTGCATTGAGCAGCAGGGCAAACACGACATCTACCACCCTGCTGCACATAGGCAGGAGAGGCAGACAGGTATCTTCAGGGCCAGCCAGGAGATGGCACAGCAATCAGCCCCAGACCAAGTCGAGCGCCATCGTCTGATGGCTACAAGGCCAGCTTTGGATCTCTTGTTATTTGACACATTCTTAGAATGGCCTGTTTTGAGGTCTTGCACTAGCTGTCACTAGCAGTGACCCTGTCAGGGCTATTCCCACAAACTTGCACATTCAGCAGCCAACAGGGGAAGATCTTCACTGGCGAAGTGATGCTTTTGTCCCTGCATCAGCGGTGGCTGGTAGGAGGCTGTCTTCTGCCTGCTGCTGCATTTTTAGAATTGTTTTTCAGGCTCGTTTTAATGGCAATACTTTAATAGATTGTTTGTTTATCCCTTTGTAAGCCATCTCTTGCAGACTCGTGGGAGCTGCATTTGATTAATTAATTAATTTCAATGGAAAACTTAAGCAATGGCAAGATAAAACAAGTTGTCCTTATAATTACAACCTTGAGTAGTGTGGAATAAAAGAAAAGGCATAATTGGCAAAATGCTTTTACTAAATTTCTTCAATAAATGTTAGCATTCAATTATAAAAGAGAGCTTTGTTCCATTATTAATATTTTACACCCAAATTAAAATAGCTAGAGTGCTCTTGGCTCTCAATTTACTACAATGGCAAAACAAAAACCATTTTGCTGAATTTTCCTTTATTGACACAAACTGCTCAGTCCCTGAACTAACTTTACATAGAGGGGATTTTACAGTAAGAGACAACTCCCCCCCCCCCACACACACTGTCAGTTATTCAATATAAATCCACATTCTGCTATCACTTATCCTCAGCTTTCAAACCCAAGCTTGCACATCTGGATGATGTGGTCAGTGCTGACTGGAGTGGGACCAAACCGGAAAGAGACATGAATGAGAGCAACTACAGGTCACCAGATGGAATGGAAAGGAGAGGCTAGAGAGAGTTTGTGACTCTACTCCTTCCCATCTCTTTTCTAAAGGATTCGTGAATATCTAGCCAATTTTAAAGGCTAAACCTATTGGTGTACCATAGCCAAACATTATACTGGAATTATTTCATAAATGCTTCCACAGTATTAATTCTTCTTCCACATCATCCAGTAATCAGTGGATAACATGATTTTCCCCCTGTATTCAAGTGGCAACGCTTTCAATCTTACATCTTATATATGAAGTTTCTACTTTTCTGACTCCACATTTGCTCTGATGTATTTCTCTGATCAACACCAGCACATCAAATAAGCGCAACTAACAGGAGAAGTCACCCTATGATGCTATGTGCACTTATCTGGGAGAAACTGAACTCAGTGGGACTTACTTCAGAGTAGACATGTAAAGGACTGTGCTGCTAGCCTCCCTATCTCCCTCCAAACAAGGGAAAATATCTTTTTTATTACCTTTCTCACTACAATGAATTTTCTAAGAGAGCATATTTTTCATAATACAGTACACCCTTTCTTGAAATCAAAACTAGGATGGCATAGTAATCCCAGAATAGTTTTCAAAACGTCATAAAATAAGCAACAGTTAGAAATATAACAAACATACACAAAGAATGTGATTATCTCGGGGTGCAGGTAGGTTCACATATACAGAGGCAATCCTTGAGGTATTGAAGTCCTGAGCCATTTAAGATCAAAACCAGCACTTCGAATTGGGCTCATGCAGTTGGGTCAGGATTGGTATCATTGGAACCAACTCCTAGGTGCTGAGGTCCCTTCTCCACCCTCAATAAAATATTTGAGGGGGCCGGGCCTCCCCAAAGTTGATGGGCATTGTCGTTCAAATGGTGTCCATACACTGCATCTTATGCAAGACAGGGCCCTGCCAATATTTTATTCAAGTTGGCAATATTTTATTCAAGGCTGTCGATTTGCCAAAGGCACCTTTCTACCGTAATTAAAGTGCTAAACATTAGTAAAACAGTTTTAAAACAGGTAAAGTGCACAGTGCATGCATAGTCATATTCTATGATTTTATCAAATAATAACTAGTTCTAACTTTAAATCTAAAGCTCACAGATTTCCAGGTAGTTGCAAGAACACAAATAATTTTATGTAAAAGGGGTCAGTCATATCAACAGTATATTAGTAGTTTATGTACTCTAGAAATTGTTAAATAATAGTTTATTTGTACTAGTAAAATACAAGTTTTGGAAAGGGGGGTGAATACTTTTAAGAAGAAGAAAAATATTTTGAGAGGGTTTTTATTTTGGTATGAATATGCCACCAACAGTTTTCAGAGTCCAATCAAACAAATAATATGCCACTCCGAATATACTTCCTACCAAATTAATGCATGTTACACAAACCACATTCACTTAGCTTCAAACTTCACTTTTTTCATCTGGGATTTATGCCTTCTCTTTCTTGAATATCTTATACTCTTGCCTCGGGCTAATCCACCTCTTTTGAAAGCAAAGCCAGAATTTAACAGCTTTGCCTCCTAGAGACCTAATGATAGATGTCAAAAATGTATCATTAGGATTTTGTCCAATTAAAAAAAAAACAAGACTTAACAGAATGTATGTGTTATACAACTTTCCCATGCTGGACTAGGTAAAAGTTTGGAATAATGAAAGAGAATTCCTGTTACACAACATCTCATATATCCTTGAGGGGAAAGGTTTACGACTTTCCCCACTGTAAAAACATATTATGCTTTCAGGTTTTATTAGAGTAGTGATCCTGATCCAGAAATCTTTGTGTACAAGAAGCTCAACATGATTTGTCCATGAAATAGATAGGCATTATGGATAATACTTGATCAGAGAGTCAGTTTGGTATAGTAATTAGTGTATCAGATTAGGACCTCAGAAACCAGGTTTGAACCTTGAGTTCTTCAGAGTAAAGGCAGGCCATAAATGTAGTACGTAAACAAGGCCTTTTAGAATTGACAGCACAAAAGAGGGTAGATATGGAATTTCTTCCAACACAACACCGTTTCCCAGATACAGAAGATTAATCCAGATGCCGCATTTCCAAACAGATACAACTCTTTCTAGATCAGGGCATATATGTAGAAATATTTAAATCTGAATTTATACATCACTATTGTCAAGGCTTGTGAATACAAAGGTTCTGTAGTTTTTCAGGGACATGGGTGGCACTGTGGTCTAAACTAATCATAAGGTTGGCACTTCGAATCCGTGCAACGGGGTGAGCCCCCGTTGCTTTGTCCCAGCTCCTGACAACCTAGCAGTTCGAAAGCATACCAGCACAAGTAGATAAATAGGTACCGCTGCAGTAGGAAGGTAAACAGTGTTTCTGTGCACTCTAGCATTTGTCACAGTGTCCCATTACACCAGAAGCAGTTTGGTCATGCTGGCCACATGACCCAGAAAAGCTGTCTGTGGACAAATGCTGGCTCCCTCGGCCTGAAAGTGGAGATAAATGCTGAACCCCATAGTCGAATTCGACTGGGCTTAACCATTCAGGGGTCTTTCACCTCCTTTACCTCTATAGTTTTTCACTACATCCTGTATTTTATTGTTATACTGATCCTAAATATGTGCAATGATTTCCAGACTGTGCTAGTCTGTTGCAGCAAAAACAACAGTCTTTTGGCATCTTAAAGACCAACAAACATATTATAGCATAAGCTTTGATGGATCAGAA